GACTAAAACGAACGTTTCGAAAAGAATGAGGACCAAATTGTACCTTACTTTGAAAGAGGGACGAAAACCAGAAACGACCAATAGTTTAGGGACTAAAAACATATTTAACCCTATAATTTATTATGTTTATAGACCCTTACCAGAATAAGCTTAGTCCTAGTGGCTTATTTACCTTTTTTGAATCAGTGTTTGATCATATTCTACTATGTTACAAAGAAGTCGGTAAATAATTAATTTTGGCAGATCGACAGGTAATAAGTCAGTCCGCCTAGTGGTAGTCGGGTTGGTCATGTTTGAGTGCAAACACTTAGGACGTATTCAGTTATATTTTACGTTATATCATCTTAGGATGAGATCAATATTCATCTGACCGAAGGATGCTTAGTCGTATAATATATATATATATATATATATATATAATATTTATTTTTTTTTATTTTTTTATTGTGTTTGTTTAAATCTTAGGCGGTAAAGAAAACTTGAACAAATAGTCAATTTCATGAATGAACCATTATTTAAGAAAAGATGAAGTCTCGTGGTAAATTATTGGCACAGTGGTATATGTATGAACCCACACGTTTCTAACAATAGAACGACCAAGACATCATTTAAAAAGGAAGAATTGATTAAAAAATAAGACCAGCCGAACAAGGTCTTTCTTTAAAGAGGACCTAAAGTCTATATAATTTCATTAGAGAAGTGATTACATGTGGAGAATACAAAGGAGTTAGGAAAAAAAACGTATTTTGAATTGAAGAAAAAGAAGTAGTAGCAGATGGATAGCCATAGCATAGGAAGAAAATGGAGAGATCTTAGTGGGAGAAATAATTGGCAAGGTCTGCTAGACCCTCTGGACATTGACCTTCGCCATTACATCTTACACTATGGACAACTTGCTCAAGCTACATATGATGCTTTCAACTCAGAAAAGTTATCTGAGTACGCTGGAAACTGTCGATATTCCAAGAGGGATTTCTTTTCCAAAGTTGGTTTGGAACATGGGAATCCTTTCAAGTATGATGTGACTGAGTTCCTATATGCAACTTCCAAAGCCAGTGGTTCGACAGAGTTTGTCTTAAACTGTTTGTCGATGGATGAATGGATCGTGGAATCAAATTGGATAGGGTATGTTGCTGTTGCCACTGATAAAGGCAAAGCAGCACTAGGAAGGAGGGATATCGTGGTTGCTTTGAGGGGAACAGTTCAGGCTTCCGAATGGGTTCAAAATTTACAATTCCCTTCGGACCCTGCCACACTCATATTCCCTGATGCTCATCGTGCTGAAGTACACGGTGGTTTTTACTCCCTTTACACCTCAAACAACCCAGGTTCGCGTAGAACTAAGACCAGTGTTCGAGATCAGGTTCTATATATCTATCTATCTATAGATTTATCTTATTGTTAACAATAAATATAAATGCAGATTAATATTTTTCCAATTTTACTGTTCATTGATAGCCCTTAAGAGCTAATTATTAACGGATAAAATATACTTTTAGTTTCTAAACTATTAAGCGATTTTAGTTTTAGTCTCTCTTTTAAACTTTGGTACACTTTGATCCTTCTTCTTAAAGAAACTATAATTTTTAGTCCTCCAAAACTAACGCGGTTAAAAATAGGATAACGTCTTAATTAGGGTTCTTACTTAGTTAAAATTAAGACGTTAGCCTAATTTTAACGTCGTTGATTTTGGAGAACGAAAAATTATAGATTCTTTAAAGACAAAGATCAAAGTGTACCAAAGTTTGAAAGAGAGACTAAAACGAAAATCGCTTGATAGTTCAGAGACTAAAATCATATTTAACCCATTATTAACAATGAAATTAAAAATAATTGATAAGTAACTTGTTGCAGATATATTGGTTTATGAAGAAAAGATTCTGCTGAGAATTTTTCCAACTTAGTTTAGTTAAAATTCTTCAGCATAGAAAGTGATTAAGAAAATAATTTCATTAAAAATAATCAACTAGGAAATTAATTAATTTTTAGTAATATGGATAGATACTTCTTACCAATAATATTATACAAAGAAAAAAGGAACTATTAGAAAGACTGGGTCAAACTTATTTGGCTTTAAATTATCTGTTTTAAGAAAATGTATGATGATGAGAATTATGCAGGTCCTGAAGGAGGTTAGAAGACTTGTGGAGAAATACAAGAATGAAGAAATTAGCATAAGTGTGACAGGGCACAGCTTAGGTGCTGCACTAGCAACTTTAACTGCTGTGGACATAATAGGCCAAGGATTGAACAAACGGAAAGAGCAACCACAAAGAGTATGTCCCGTGACAGCATTTCTGTTCGCGACTCCTCGTGTTGGAAACTCTCTCTTCGGGAAGATCTTCAGCAAGTACAAGCATCTGCGAGCACTGCGCATTCGTAATAAGAAGGATCAAGTTCCTAAACTTCCCATTGGCCTCACTGTTGTGGGTGAAGAACTCGTGATCGACACTAGAAAATCCAAGTTCTTGAAGAATGGGGTGAGTGCGCATAACTTGGAGGCTTATTTGCATGGAGTTGCTGGAACGCAAGGGAAAAAGGGAGGGTTCAATTTGGAGGTGAATCGTGACATTGCACTCTTGAACAAGAACTTGGATGCATTGAAAAATGAATATCGTGTTCCTGTTGAATGGAGGGTGCACGAGAACAAGGGTATGGTTCAGCAATCAGATGGTACTTGGAAGCTTATAGATCACAACGAGGATGTTAGTCCATCGTTACGTGCTAGATTATAGGTTGCTTTATCACCATATGTTATTAGGGTTCTGCTTCTCTTTCTTTGTGCTATAATAACCTCCTTGTTAGTTCTTTTCATGTATGTCTTTTAATAAAGTGTGACTTAATTTGAAAGTTAATGAATCAAACGTGTTGTTCGTATTGTAAACCAACTTTTTAAATTTATTTAAGAAATTAGGTTTGATCCACATTCACAAATATATTGATAATGGGTTTTTTTACCACAAGGATGGAAATGATTATGAAGGTTTAACAAAACCCTTTTATAGATTATGTAGTGTATAGATGTGTTACAATTAATATTTCATATATATACGAGTTTAACTAACAATTATATTAATTGAACTAAAATATTGTACTAATTTAACGGTTATGGTCCAAAAAAAATCACATAGAAGTGTAGATCATAGAATATATGTTTATCAAATGTTAAGGTAACTCGAGAACACTGGATCAAAGGCCTAAAATTAGTCAATTTTAATTAATTCACTAGTAATAAAAAGACTTTTTAAATCGTTTAATATATTTTAGTTTTAATAAAAATGAAATCTTTTTAAATGTAGTGATATTTTTGAAAACTTTTTTACCGTTAGATTTCAGTTTTTGAAGCTTGTATTGATATATGTTTCGGTTCTTTAAAGAATCGAGATCTAGAATTGTTGAAAATAATTTAAAAAATGTCACTAGTGTCAATTTTGAAAATATTTACAAATAATTTCAATTATAAAACCACTTTTGAGATTAGTAATGAAATTTTGTTAAAATTTTGAGTAATTCTTAACTTGTCTTCAAGTCATGGCTATAGCATCCTATGAGATCCCTTTAACTACCTTTCTTTAAAATTGGTTCAATGTCTCTAAGAGCACAATCAACTATCTTCATTCCACCACTTCAACCTCCAAAACTGAGAGTAACCACCATCATCTCAATAGCTTTCGTGCCACTTCCATAACTTCATCTTCTTGTGTTAGTCTAACCTAGCTTGAAAAGGAGACTATCAAACATATTATGCAAAAATGAGATATTAAATTTCAGCCTTCTCACCATAATATTTTAGGCCATTTCTTCATGCTTGTCGAAAACTTCAACATACACCATATACTTAAACATTCTAAATGCACTCTTTACTTTAGGATTATAATTTTAGTTTTGGATTGTGTAATCACGAACGTTGCAAAATATATAATTTAGAATATTTGTATTTTGGGTTGTATTACTTTGAAATACAAATTTGTATTATAAATTGTATGTAGAATTTGGAACACAAAATTTATCTTTTGGAATGTACGTGTTAGAATATGAAGTGAAAAAAATGCATTCTGGATTTCCAAAATAGAAAACATTTTTTAATTCGTATTTTGCATGCATAATTTGGAATATATTTTGTATTTTGTATTTTGAAATGTATAGTCCAAAATATTGTGCAATCCAAAATGTACATTATCTTTTGAAATATACTTTTGTAATCTGAAATGTACAATCCATAATATAAATGTTCAATTTAGAATACAAAATTTGTATTTTAAAATATACCATCCGAAATATAAATTTTATATTTCAAGATACAAAATAAAAAATATATTCTAAATTATACAATTAAAAAGAAATTATATTTCAAAATATATAATTTGAAAGACAAATTTTGTATCATAGATATCCATTCAAAATAAAAAATAATAACAATACAATTTAGATTGTATTTTTGACATTTATGCACCTTATGGAGGTGTATATAGGAAGAAATAGTCAAGTTTTTAATATTAGAAAGGCCCAAACCCAAAAGAAAAAAACAAAAGTCAATGTCGAAAAGCCTCTTAACATGCAAGTCAAGGACGTAAAACTTTCATCACTGAACCAACTTTTACCATCTATCTTCTTTTTTTCACACCATCTCTGAGGGAGGAAAATGATAATTTAATAACATTTTTTTAATAATATTTTAACATTATTTATGTGTCATTCTATGATTGGTTCATGTGATGTTTATAATTATTATTATTGATTGTGAAATAATTTTAGACTAATCATAAAATGACTATGTTAAAATGTTGTCAAAATATCTTCATCCTTTCGCAATATTAATTTCAATTAAACTTTTTGTCAATTGAAGTTTTTTAAACTATGTTTTTATTTTGTTATACGTTCTTCTGAAGAAAAAAAAATTAATTTCATTTATTTATCATTTGAATTTATATATTATAGGATTAAACAATAATACACGTTGACGTGACAGACGACTTTTAGACAAAGTTACTGTTGGTTTGAATCCCAGAACCTATTAATTAAGATTTGGTTTGTTGGTACTGATGTTTCTGAATCATTTTTGCTATAAAAAAAAGTACATTTTATATTATATAGTTTGATAAATATGAGATATCAATGAAAGGGTTTAACAATTTTTTTAAATAATTTTTGTTTCAATACTTTGAAAATTTTCAATTTGCTCTTTTTTTTTTCAAATAAAATAATTTTTTTACTGAAATTGATATGTTATATGTGATTATATAAATAAATCAACTTTAAACGATGAGATATCATTGTTTAAGTCATGCACCAGTTTAATACAACATTATTATTGTGAATTTAAGGAAAAAGTATATAAACACATTTTAAAATAGCATCAAATTGAAATGACTTAAAATAGTATTTGACAAAAATCGTAAGAACAACGGAGAGAAAAAAGATGAAATTGACAAAAATTATTATTAGAATTAGGAAAAAAGAGCTATTAAACCTAATTAAAATCAGAATATTTTAAGAAAAAAATAATGATTGTTGTTGTTAACAAGATAGACATTTCTTGAACAGACAGAGGAAGAGTACTGTGTACTGGGGAGAAAGAGGTTGTTGGTGCAGTCACGGGAAAAGGGATGAGACATAGGGAGTGGGTAACCTTTGTAACAAACACGGGATGCGCCTAAAGTCACGAACCTCTCAAGTTTAATTCAGACAGACATTCTGCTACAGATCTCATGTTTTTTTCATCTCCACCACCTCTTTTCTTTCTGTATTTTGCTGTTAATGTTATGAAAGTGTTTGTTGAGTCTATACAAGAGGAGTACAGTAAAGAAATACAACCATCAATTAAATATGAGTTCAATCATAAAAAAAAATTGTTAGTACTTTTTATTTAAAATTTTAAAATTATGAATTAATGAATTTTTAATTTTTAAATAATATTTTATTTTTTTATTTTTATCCAATATAAGATTTGGTTCATATTTTAATTTTCAAAAGAATGTTCAAAATATGTGAAATAATTAAATTTTGTTTCATCCAGTTAAAGTTTCTTTTAACTTTTACTTAAAAAAAAAGGAAAATTACCATTTATTCTATTTTCTTTTATCATTAACCCTTAAATGTTCTGTGGGGATAAGCTCTGTCACTTGGTTTTGGTGTATTTTCCTCCTTCCACTCAGTCACCGTTTAATGTTCTACACTTGGTTTTGGTCTTATTTCTCCCTCCTTGTTCAGTCTCCTCTTGTGTGATTCACTTCTTCTTTGGCGCGAACATTGTGTTAAATTTGAATGACATGGTGAACAACCAAGGTTAAAAATTGGTAAAAATGTTTGCTTTTTTTGCTTTAGATTTTTGTGTAAACAATTTTTAGGGTTCCATTCTAAGGTTTACAGATTACGAACTGAAAACGTATGATATCATGTTTGTTTTCGTTTGTTTGCTTTTTTTTTTCTGGCTACCTCACATGTTTTGGTTTATTTCTGTGAAAATGTTTTTGGATTTTTCAAGTATGATAGGGATTGTTTTTATTTGTCTGCAATGTTTTATTATTCTTTAAGTTTTTCCTTTAATTTTGTCTTTTTTTTTTCCTACATGAGGAGGTATAAGATGTTATTTCAACAACCATCATGTCATCAAGATTATTAAAATTTCTATTATTTTAAGTTGATGTGAGAAAAGAAAAACATTAACCACTATCAGTTACAATTACTTTATAGGTAATATAGGTCTAGATTATTTTCAATCAACATTAATATCAACAAGACAATAATATTATTATTAATATTTTTGGATTAATAAAAATTGTTTAATATTTAAATAACTTGTCTATTAGTAACTGAAATACTTTCTCTAATCCAAAGAATGAAAATGTGATAAACTAAAATGATTTGAAATGCAATTAATTTAAATACATTACATTCGAATGTCTTAAAATTACGCTTTTCCCCCAAATATAATATAGAAAGTTTTCGGGGAAATGATGCCCTTTTGCACCTTATATACTTATATACTTAGAAAAGAAAATAAAAATAGGTGTCTATTAAGAGAATTAAATATATCGTGGTATTAAAAATTCAAATTTAAATTTCAATCTTGGATAGAGATAAAACAGTTAAGTAACGTATAAAAAAACCCTAAATATATATAAAAGAGAAGACCCCAAATATATAGTCTTAAAGTTTAAAGTTTAAAGTTAGAAATAAAGTTAATTTCTTTATACGTAAATTGGATTTATATTTGAGTTTTATTGTGTGTTTTGGGTAAATTCTTCTGAAAAACTCATTAACAAGTGAATGCTTTGGTTTGGATAAGTGAATGGTGAATATGACTTTCACGTACTAATAACAATAAATTCTATTCTCAATCCTAAAATGCATGTGAGGACATGGCCCCTACCTCTTCTTGCTAGGAAAAATTGTAACAACCCTAACCCCAAATCACCATCACTACCAATTGCTAACTATTTCAATACCTTTCCCCTCATACCAACTTAACA